GCCAGCACTTTGGGAGGCCGAGGCGGGTGGATCACAAGGTCAAGAGATCGAGACCATCCTGGTCAACATGCTGAAACCCCGTCTCTACTAAAAATACAAAAATTAGCTGGGCATGGTGGCGCGTGCCTGTAATCCCAGCTACTCGGGAGGCTGAGGCAGGAGAATTGCCTGAACCCAGGAGGCGGAGGTTGCGGTGAGCCGAGATCGCGCCATTGCACTCCAGCCTGGGTAACGAGAGCGAAACTCCGTCTCAAAAAAAACAAAACAAAACAAAAAACAAACCCATCTCTACCAAAAATCCGAAACAAATGAGCCAGACGTGGCAACGGGTGTCTGCAGTCCCAGCGACTCAGCAGGCTGAGGCGGGAGAACTGCTTGAACCCGGGAGGGGAGGTCTGCAGTGCGCTGAGATGGAGGCACTGCCCTCCAGCCTGGGTGACAGAAAGGGGCTGCCTCAAGGAAAAAATACACATATTCCGATGAGGGAGGGAGTGCGGTAAAAAATAAATAAAATGAAATCTAAAAATCCCTACGCCCAGCCACAGGCCCCTCTGCACAGTGCCCCAAACCCAGGGAGCTCTGGGCCTGTGGCACCTGGTCACTCCGGCCTGGGCTGCCGGGTCACCACCCCCAGAAACGGCCCCGCCCCTACCTAGCCCGGGTCGGTCAGCCTAACCAGGAAGCTCTGGAAACCAACTGGCCCCAGCTGGCCTGTTTACTTCTCTGCGTCTTAATAACGAGCTTCCCAGGCTCACAGCACAAGACGGGGTCCTCTCCTCCCCGGGTGCCTGCCCACCCCCAGCCCACAGTGGCCCGCACTGCTTGTTTGTTGAATGAATAACTAAACTTCTGTTGACACAGTCTCCAAGGCTGCCTCATCTCCTTCCCACAGCACCCAACAAGACCACTTTACAGACAGGGAAACCGAGGACCCAGCGAGGGTATCTGAAGCTTCGTGGACACTGAAGTCCTGAGGGTTGTGTCCACGGAGGGGGGCGGCCCCAGCCGGCGTGCTGCGGGGGTTTCGGGGACAGGCCTCCTGGCCACTCCCGATTATACCCCTTGCAGACGTTGAGAGGGGACCTTTGGACCCTCACTCCCTTGGTCAAAAACACACCTTTCCGGGCACCGGCCCCTCCCCCAGGAACCCACAAAGAGAGCAAGAGAGGAACCCACTTGTCCAGGAGGAAGCCAGGGCTCAGGGAGGAGGTGACTCAGCGGGGGGTGGGGTGGACCCGGGAGGCCCCAGCGGTCCCCAGCCCTCCACCAGGACACGTCTGGCAGGTAAACACCCAGCCAGTGAGGGCTGAAACATGAGCCTATTTACACAGTCACACAGGAGTCGCTGTTTCTGGGCTTCAAGAAGACGCAGGGTGCCGGGCAAAGTGGCTCATGCCTGTAATCCCAGCACTTTGTGAGGCCAAGGCAGGTGGATCCCTTGAGTCCAACAGTTCGAGACCTGCCTGGGCAACATAGTGAGACCTCGCCTCTACAACAGATTTAAAAATAATTAGCCAGGCATGGTGGTGCACACCTGGGGTCCTGGCAACTCGGGAGGCCGCGGCAGGAGGATCACCTGAGCCCGGCAGGTGGAAGCTGCATTGAGCTGTGATTGAACCACTGCACTCCAGCCTGGGTGATAGAGTGAGGCCCTGTATCAATAAAAATACTAATAAATGTGAATTTCATCTCAATAACATACACTAGAGTGGTGGCTCGCACCTGTAATCCCGGTACTTTAGGAGGCAGGGGAGGGAGGATGGGTTGAGCCCAAGAGTTTAGACCCGTTTGGGCAATGTAGCAAGACCCCATCTCTAATATTTAAAAAAGAGGCTGGGAGCAGTGGCTCAGGCTTGTAATCCCAGCACTTTGGGGGGCCAAGGCAGGCGGATCATCTGAGATGGGATTTGAGACCAGCTTGACCAACATAGAGAAACCCCATCTCTACTAAAAATACAAAATTAGCCGCGCGCGGTGGCTCAAGCCTGTAATCCCAGCACTTTGGGAGGCCGAGGCGGGTGGATCACGAGGTCAGGAGATCGAGACCATCCTGGTCAACATGATGAAACCCCGTCTCTACTAAAAATACTAAAAATTAGCTGGGCGTGGTGGCGCGTGCCTGTAATCCCAGGTACTCGGGAGGCTGAGGCGGGAGAATTGCCTGAACCCGGGAGGCGGAGGTTGCGGTGAGCCGAGATCGCGCCATTGCACTCCAGCCTGGGTAACAAGAGCGAAACTGTGTCTCAAATAATAGTAATACTAAAATAATTAATAAGACATTAACTAATTAGTAATAAGGAAGCAATGGACACTCCGCTTGCTGGGCCCAGCCCAGAGCCAGGTCGGTAACCCTAGCACTTGGAGAAGAGGCCCCACTTACGATCCCATTTTACGGAAGGGGAAACTGAGGCACGGGAGCGTGAAATGACCTGCCCAGGTGGAGGCAGGTGGGCACACGGAGGAGACAGGAAAGGAACGTGGACTCCAGGGGTGCACCTTAGGGTCCCCAGGTCCCTGCGCGGGCGGGTGACGCACGGGTGAACCCCACACAGGCCACCTCGCTACCGGGTACCCCCCCCCCCCAAAACGCCGGGAGGACGCGCGGATTCCCGATTTTAACCTGCAAGGGTTCTGGGGTTTTGCCCAAAGGAGAACAAGGAGCCGCGTCTGCCGGGAAAGGCAGGGGGCGGACAAGCCCAGGGGCGCGCAGAGCGGGGGAGCCGGGCTGGAGCGCACGGCCAAGCGGGGACCCCGCCCGCGGACACAGGCCCAGGAACCCCCGGCGGGAAGCTCTGTGGCGGGCACCTCGGGGGCCCGGGGAATAGGGGCGCGGACCCGGAGTTTGGGGGCGGACCCAGGAAGTGGGGGCGCAGAGCAGGGAGTTGGGGGGGCAGACCCAAAGAGTCGGGGTGCGGACCCCGGAGTGCGGGGGGCGAACAGGGAGTTGGGGGCGCGGACCCGAGGAATAGGGGGGCGCCGACCGGGGCATCGGGGCGCAGACCCTGGGAGTCGGGGCGCGGACCGGGATCCCCTCCCCCAGCCAATCCTGGGGGCGCCAGGAGGGTGTCCCCGCTGGGTCACAATGAAGATCCCCCCCCAGCATGGGGGTCAACAGCGAGCGGAAAAGGATGGGGAGCGGAGGGGACCGCAGGGGAGGGGAGGGGAGGGGAGGGGAGGGCAGGGGAGGGGAGGGGACCGCAGGGGAGGGGAGGGGAGGGGAGGGGAGGGCAGGGGAGGGGACCCAGGTTCACGGCGCGCCCCGCCCGCCCGCGCTCACAGCAGCCGCCGCCCGCCCGGGGTGCCCTCCGCCGCCGCCTCCGGGCCGCCCTCGGGGTTCTCCAGCGCGACCATGGCTCGGACGCTGCTGCCGTCGCCGCCGCCGGGCTGGGCCTTCACGGGGCCGGGCAGGAAGTGACGGGAACCCGGAGGCGGGCGGAGGCGGGGCCTGGGGCTGCGCAGGCGGGGCGGGGATCCAAACCCGGGGGACGAACCGGGAAACTGAGGCCGGCGGGGCGGGGATCCAAACCCGGGGGGACGAACGGGGAAACCGAGGCCGGCGGGGCGGGGATCCAAACCCGGGGGACGAACCGGGAAACCGAGGCCGGCGGGGCGGGGATCCAAACCCGGGGGACGAACGGGGAAACCGAGGCCGGCGGGGCGGGGATCCAAACCCGGGGGACGAACGGGGAAACCGAGGCCGGCGGGGCGGGGATCCAAACCCGGGGGACGAACCGGGAAACCGAGGCCGGCGGGGCGGGGATCCAAACCCGGGGGACGAACGGGGAAACCGAGGCCGGCGGGGCGGGGATCCAAACCCGGGAGACGAACGGGGAAACCGAGGCCGGCGGGGCGGGGATCCAAACCCGGGGGACGAACGGGGAAACCGAGGCCGGCAGGGCGGGGATCCAGCGCCGGGGGGACGAACGGGGAAACCGAGGCCGGCGGGGCGGGGATCCAAACCCGGGGGACGAACGGGGAAACCGAGGCCGGCGGGGCGGGGATCCAAACCCGGGGGGACGAACCGGGAAACCGAGGCCGGCGGGGCGGGGATCCAAACCCGGGGGACGACCGGGGAAACCGAGGCCGGCGGGGCGGGGATCCAAACCCGGGGGACGAACGGGGAAACCGAGGCCGGCGGGGCGGGGATCCAAACCCGGGGGACGAACGGGGAAACCGAGGCCGGCGGGGCGGGGATCCAAACCCGGGAGACGAACGGGGAAACCGAGGCCGGCGGGGCGGGGATCCAAACCCGGGGGACGAACGGGGAAACCGAGGCCGGCGGGGCGGGGATCCAAACCCGGGGGACGAACGGGGAAACCGAGGCCGGCGGGGCGGGGATCCAGCCACCAGGGGGGACGTACGGGGAAACCGAGGCCGGCGGGGCGGGGATCCAGCCACCAGGGGGGACGCACGGGGAAACCGAGGCCGGCGGGGCGGGGATCCAGCCACCAGGGGGGACGAACGGGGAAACCGAGGCCGGCGGGGCGGGGATCCAAACCCGGGGGACGAACGGGGAAACCGAGGCCGGCGGGGCGGGGATCCAAACCCGGGGGGACGAACGGGGAAACCGAGGCCGGCGGGGCGGGGATCCAAACCCGGGGGACGAACGGGGAAACCGAGGCCGGCGGGGCGGGGATCCAAACCCGGGGGACGAACGGGGAAACCGAGGCCGGCGGGGCGGGGATCCAAACCCGGGGAACGGACGCGGAAACGGAGCCCGGCGGGGCGGGGATCCAAACCCGGGGGACGAACGGGGAAACCGAGGCCGGCGGGGCGGGGATCCAAACCCGGGGGGACGAACGGGGAAACCGAGGCTGACAGGGCGGGGATCCAGCCACCAGGGGGGACGAACGGGGAAACCGAGGCCGGCGGGATGGGGATCCAAACCCGGAGGGACGAACGGGGAAACCGAGGCCGGCGGGGCGGGGATCCAGCGCCGGGGGGACGAACGGGGAAACCGAGGCCGGCGGGGCGGGGATCCAAACCCGGGGGACGAACGGGGAAGTCGAGGCTGACAGGGCGGGGATCCAGCCACGGGAGGCTGAACTGGGAAACCGAGGCCGGCGGGGCGGGGATCCAGCCCCTGGAGGGAGGAACGGGGAGACTGAGGTGCGAGGCGGGGCCCGGCCATGATCCCTACACCCACAAACCGAACCCCGGCGAGGAGAGACACCTAGGCCAGAGGTGGAAAGTTCAACCCCAACTGTCTCCCCATCCAGGCTGCTGACTGAGCCAGGAATCCAGCCCGGGGAAGCGAGGAGAAACGGACAGGGAAACTGAGGCCTAGGACAGAACCCCCCCCACACACCCACCCCAACCCCCGCAGCCTTCCTTCCACCTGCCCCTCCCAGCCCTGGAGCCTGGGCTGGGCAACCCCTTCCCCTGCTTAGCCTCCCTTTACATTTCCCTCAAATGAGGCCTGTGGCCGACGTGGTGGCTCAGGCCTGTCATCCCAGCGCTTTGGGAGGCCGAGGCGGGTGGATCACGAGGTCAAGAGATCGAGACCATCCTGGTCCACATGGTGAAACCCCGTCTCTACTAAAAATACAAAAAATTAGCCGGGCATGGTGGCGCGTGCCTGTAATCCCAGCTACTCGGGAGGCTGAGGCAGGAGACTTGCTTGAACCCGGGAGGTGGAGGTTGTGGTGAGCCGAGATCCCGCCACTGCACTCCAGCCTGGGTAACAGCAAGACCATCTCAGCAACAACAAGGTTCTGGCCTTCGTAAGGTGCCCTACACCTGGTTCCTGCTGCTCGTGTCCCTGCGGGTGTCAGCCACTCCTTGCCACCCGTGTGGGACACGTTCAGACCGAAACCTCCAGATCTGGGACCCTCACCTGCCCTGAACCTTCCATGGCTCTCCAGGGTCCTGGGGACAAACCCAGGCTATCCTCACTCTGGGTCTCCGCTGAAGGCTGGCCTCCCCGTCATTCTGGGCCCACCCACCTGGAGCCCCAGCCCCTAAGAGGGTCAAAGCCCTTCCCACATTCACAGGTCTCCGGGTTCGCGCCTCGGCTCGGCTCCTGAGCGTCAACTCCCTGGTTAACTCCCTCGATTCTTCCGGGCCCACAGCAGCCTCCACGCCGCCACCCCCGCCTGCTCCGCCCCTCTCAGTCCCCCTCCTGCGCTCTCACTCCGACCGGGCACCGGGAGGAGGGAATGGGGAGGTTGCCGCTGGGGTAACGGAGGGCGCGTGGGCAGGGGAGGGAGTGGTGAGCGGCTGCGGGAGAGGCGGGAAGGCAGGGACAAGGGGGGGCCCGGGCTATAAACGCTGGGCTGCAGCAGCGCCCGCACAGGAGCCGCCGAGCCCATCCCAGCTGCCCTGCGGACCCGACGCCTCCAGCTGAGACCCTTCCGGGGCTCCGCGGGCGCATCCCCCGGCGGCCGGGCGCAGGGGTGTTCGGGGGCGGTGCCGGGGCGCAATCCTGGAGGGCGGCCGGGAGGAGGAGGGAGGCGCGGCCGTGCACATGGCGGCTGCAACCGGGCCCAACGCGTCCTGGTGGGCGCCGGCCAACACCTCGGGCTGCCCGGGCTGCGGCTCCAACGCCTCCGACGGTCGGGTCCCTGCTCCGGGGTTCGTGGGCTCCTGGGTGGTGCAGCTCTTCTTTGCGGCGCTGATGCTGCTGGGCCTGGTGGGGAACTCGCTGGTCATCTACGTCATCTGCCGCCACAGGCCGATGCGGACAGTGACCAACTTCTCCATCGGTGAGTGCGCGCGGCGCGCGGCACCTGCTGCCGGTCGGGTCGGGGTTCCTCCTCGCGGCGCACCGGGACCCTCCCAGACCCGGCTCTGTCCCCCGCAGGGGTCCCCCCCCACCCCAAATCTTTTCCCTGCGGTCCCCATACCTGAGGCTAGAGGTCGCCAACTCCAGCGGGCCGGAGTTTGGGGAGCGCGGCACGTGGAGACCTCGACCGGGTTCCGAGCGGGCCAAAGGCTGGGAACCGGCTGCACCAAAGGCCGGGGGCGGGTTTGGCCCGCAGGTCTCAGTTTGCGACCCCTGTTCTGGTGGCTCTCTGAGCCTATTTATGCATTTGTGTCCTGGGGTCTCCTTCCCCACACAGCTGTGAGTCCAGTCGGTGGCTGCTGGGCCGGCACCCTTGTCTCCAGTTTGCAGATGAGGAAACTGAGGCTCAGAGAGGCGGGGGTCTGCTCGGGCTCCCCCAGCCCGGACACGGCCGAACAGAAATGATTTCTGGCCGGCCGCGGTGGCTCACGCCTGTAATCCCATCAGTTTGGGAGGCCGAGGCGGGCGGATCACGAGGTCAGGAGTTCGAAACCAGCCTGACCAACAAGGTGAAATCCCGTCTCTACTAAAATTATAAAAATTAGCTGGGCATGATGGCGCGGGCCTGTAGTCCCAGCTACTCGGGAGGCTGAGGCAGGAGAATTGCCTGAACCCAGGAGGCGGAGGTTGCGGTGAGCCGAGATCGGGCCATTGCACTCCAGCCTGGGTGACAAGAGCGAAACTCCGTCTCAAAAAAAAAAAAACAGGGAATTACTGGACGGTGTCCCAACTTCTCCGCCCGAGGAGGCCGGGGGCTCTGCGGGGAGGCCTCCCTGAGCCATCCTGCTGATCGCTCAGACCAACGTGGGGGCCAGGGTGCAGGGCCAGGAGCGCTCACGCCCAGCGCCCGCGTGTTCCCACCGCAGCGAACTTGGCAGCCACGGACCTGACCTTCCTCCTGAGCTGCGTCCCCTTCACCGCCCTGTTGTACCCGCTGCCCGCCTGGGTGCTGGGCGACTTCATGTGCAAGTTCGTCAACTACATCCGGCAGGTGCGCTCCGGAGCAGGAGGGGAGGGCAGGGAATGTAGGGAGGGAGGGGGCGACCTTGGGCGGAGCGCGGGGCAACGCACAGGAGAACCAGGGGCCGGGCGGGGGTGCAGCCTAGACCTGGAGCGCGGAGCCCGAACGGCGGGGTGGAGATACACAGGGAGACCCGGGTCACTGGTGAGGAAGGACGACCGAGGCCCTGAGGCTTCTTGCCCCGTCTGTCCCTCCATTCTACGCGGCCCCCCTGTCTTAGACTCAGGGTCCCAGCCGCTCCCAAGGGCTTCCTCATTTCCCTCCTGTCCCCTCAACCCGCCTCGGACACCCCTCCCAGGGCGCATCTAGTGCCTGAGTGTTCGCACACGTAGGGGGACCGGCAGGGCGGGCGACAGGGCAGGCTCCCAACCGCGCAGGTGGCCACACGCCCGGCTGGCGGTCCCCGCAGGTCTCGGTGCAGGCCACGTGCGCCACTCTGACCGCCATGAGCGTGGACCGCTGGTACGTGACGGTGTTCCCGCTGCGCGCCCTGCACCGCCGCACGCCCCGCGGGGCGCTGGCTGTCAGCCTCAGCATCTGGTTGGGTAAGTACTCTCCAGGGGCCTCACCAGGGAAGGGGAACAAGTCCCAGTGCCCTGGGCGCCCAGAGCCACCTGCCGCCTCGCTCGGGCATCTGGAGAATGGGCGCAATCGCTCTGCCAGCCCAGGACCAGCGAGGCTGCAGGCCGGGCGCCCTCTCAGCGGGGTGGCTCGGTGAGCCCTTCCCGGGGAGGCACTTGGGGGACCGCTGGTCACCCGGGTGGGGTCTTCACCGGCGTGTGGCGCAGGCTCCGCTGCGGTGTCTGCGACGGTGCTCGCCCTGCACCGCCTGTCCCCGGGGCCGAGCACCTACTGCAGAGAGGCCTTCCCCAGCCGCGCCCTGGAGCGCGCCTTCGTGCTGTACAACCTGCTGCCGCTGCTCGCCACCTGCGCCTGCTATGGGGCCATGCTCCGCCACCTGCGCCGGGCCGCCGTGCGCCCTGCGTCCGTCGATAGCGCCCTGCAGGTGCGCGGCGTGCGGGGGACGGCGAGACGGGGCAGGCGGGCGGGAAGGCACCAGGGTGGAAGGCGCCGGTGGGGGCACCTGCGCGGCAGGCACAGCCCAAGGGGTCCGGGCTTTTTTTTAATTAATTTTTTTTTAGAAGGTAATTAAAATGCTCTATTAACACTGGAAATGTAGAATGAACTGGACATTGCATCCATTTCGTTTTGGTACATTCAATACATGACATTATCCAGCTCATACAGGAGCATTCTGTACATAAAAATGATTCCCAGGCCAGGCGCGGTGGCTCAAGCCTGTGATCCCAGCACTTTGGGAGGCCGAGGCGGGTGGATCACGAGGTCAAGAGATCGAGACCATCCTGGTCAACATGGTGAAACCCCGTCTCTACTAAAAATACAAAAAATTAGCTGGGCACGGTGGCGCGTGCCTGTAATCCCAGCTACTCGGGAGGCTGAGGCAGGAGAATTGCCTGAACCCAGGAGGCGGAGGTTGCGGTGAGCCGAGATCGCGCCATTGCACTCCAGCCTGGGTAACAAGAGCGAAACTCCGTCTCAAAAAAAAAAAAAAAAAGATTTCCTTTCAATACCAACTGTACACACTGTTGAAAATTGAACGTGCCATTCTTACCTGTTAGTATCCTAAGTCACCGCAGCGCCTGTGACCTACTGTGTGACCTGGGATAAGTCACATCTCTGCGCGTCCATGTTCTCATCTAACAAATGAACCGAGGGCGCTTGGTTTAATTCTTTCTTTTTCTTCGGGAGGGGCGGTGCCAGGGGATGAGCCCAGCCGGCCGCGGCGTCTCCTCTGACCACCTCCTCCCACCCCCAGGGGCAGCTGCGGGCCCAGCGCGCGGACGCGGTGCGGGCCAAGGTGTCGCGGCTGGTGGCGGCCGTGGTCCTGCTCTTCGCCGCCTGCTGGGGCCCCATCCAGCTGTTCCTAACGCTGCAGGCGCTGGACCCCGAGGGCGCCTGGCACCCGCGCAGCTACGCCGCGTACGCGGTCAAGACCTGGGCGCACGGCATGTCCTACAGCAACTGGGCGCTGAACCCGCTGCTCTACGCCTTCCTGGGCTGGCACTTCCGACGGGCCCTCGGCCGCGTGTGCCCCTGCGCGCCCCGCCGGCCCCGAGCCTCCGACCCCGCCGCCCCGCGCGCCGAGCTGCACCGCCTGGGGTCCCACCCGGCCCCCGCCAGGGCGCAGAAGCCAGGGAGCCGTGGGCCGGCGGCGCGCGGGCTCTGCGTCCTTGGGGAAGCCGGCGCCCCTCTCTGAGCGGACCCGTGGGAAAACAAGCGGCCCCCTCCGGAGCGGGGGGCTGCTGGAACAGCGCCTGTTCTCCTGCTCTCCATGCTTTTCTCGTGGCCCGAGATGATCCGTGCACATGTTTTGGCCTCTTCTGACAGTCCCGGGCAGTTTTGCTGTGATGTTTGCTGTTGACATGGAAATTATTAATGTGTTTCCTGAAATTAAAGACGTGTCCACATGGGACTTTCTGGATCATTCTAGAACATGTCAGACGTGATCTCCTGGTCCTGGAGTTGTCACTCTGTATGATTCATTCCACTTTTCTTCCTTTTTGTTTCTCTCCTTCTTTCTTTCATCTTTCTCTTCTTTTTTTTTTTTTTTTTTTTTTTTGAGACATGATCTCATTGGGGCGCATTGGCGCGATCTCAGGTCCCTGCAGCCTCTGCCTCAGCTCACTACTACCTGCGCCTCCCTGGCTCAAGCGATTGTCCTGCCTCAGCCTCCCAAGTAGCTGGGATTACAGAAATACGCCACCAGCACGCCTGGCTAATTTTTTTTTTTCTTTTTTTTGTATTTTTAGTAGAGATGGAGTTTCGCCATGTTGATCAGGCTGGTCTCAAACTCCTGACCTTAAGTGATTCCCCCTGGCTCAGCCTCCCGAAGTGCTGAGATTACAGGCGTGAGCCACTGCTCTTGGGCTCAACCCACTTTTAGAGATACTAAAACGTGAAAACAGGCTGGATGCGGGGCTCACACCTGTAATCCCAGCACTCTGGGAGGCCGAGGCCGGAGGATCTCTTCAGCCCGGGAGTTCCAGACCAGCTGAGGTAACATGGAGAGATCCTGTCTCTACAAAAAATACGAAAATTAGCCACAGGTGGCGGGGTTCACCTGTAGTATCAGCTGCTTGGGAGGCTGAGGCGGGAGGATCACCTGAGCCCAGGAGGTTGAGGCTGCAGTGAGCCACGATCGTACCGCTGCACTCCAGCCTGGGTGGCACAGCAAGACCCTGTCTCAAAAATAAAATAAGGGGACAGGCACGGTGGCTCACGCCTGCAACCCCAGGACTTTTGGATTATTTGTCACAAATAATCTGGGATACTGTGAGCCTCCACACAGGCCTCCAAGGCGGCCAGATCACGAGGTCAGGAGTTCGAGACCAGCCTGGCCAACATGGTGAAACCCCATCTCTACTAAAAAAATACAAAAAATAGGGCCGGGCGCGGTGGCTCACGCTTGTAATCCCAGCACTTTGGGAGGCCGAGGTGGGTGGATCGCCTAAGCTCAGGGGAGGGAGACTAGCTTGGACAACATGGTGAAAACCGGTTTCTACTAAAAATACAAAAATTAGCCTGGCATGGTGGTGGGCGTCTGTAGTCGCAGCTACTCGGGAGGCTGAGACAGGAGAATTACTTGAACCCAGAAGATGGAGGTTGCAGTGAGCCGAGTTGGCACCACTGCACTCCAGCCGAGGCAGCAGAGCCAGACTCAATCTTTTATTTTGTTTTGTATTTTTTTGAAACGGGGTTTCCCTCTTGTTACCCAGGCTGGAGTGCAATGGTGCGATCTCGGCTCACCGCAACCTCCGCCTCCTGGGTTCAGGCAATTCTCCTGCCTCAGCCTCCCGAGTAGCTGGGATTACAGGCGCGCACCACCGCGCCCAGCTAATTTTTTTTATTTTTAGTAGAGATGGGGTTTCATGATATTGGCCAGACTGGTCTCGAACCCCTGGTGTCAGGGGATCCAAAAGAGCTGGGATTACAGGCGTGAGCTCGGCCACAAAATTCATTTTCAGATGAGACGGCGCCACCTAGCGGCCGCCGGCACTGGCCCCGCCCCGACTGCAGCGTCGCTCCCAAGGCCCCGCCCCAGCGGGAGCCCCGCCTCCGCCCGCAGTCCCGCAGGTGCCCGGCAGGTGGCACGCGCGGCCCGCTAAGGTTTCGCGCCTTCAGAAACGTTTCTTGGGTGTCCAGGGGTGCCCGACGCCCAGGGGCGGGTGTCGCTCATTCGGACCCCACCCTGGACTCCCGGTTGGAGGTGTCCCCGCTGTGAAGTGCGACAATCACAGACACATTATGAATTATCCTGGTCTTAGGCACTTTGCTTTTGAGGGCCCCTTGTATGAAAAAATATTTAAGGCCGGGCGCGATGGCTCAAGCCTGTCATCCCGGCACTTTGGGAGGCCGAGGCGGGTGGATCACGAGGTCAAGAGATCGAGACCATCCTGGTGAACATGGTGAAACCCCGTCTCTACTAAAAATACAAAAATTAGCTGGGCCGGGTGCGGTGTCTCAAGCCTGTAATCCCAGCACTTTGGGAGGCCGAGGCGGGTGGATCACGAGGTCAAGAGATCGAGACCATCCTGGTCAACGTGGTGAAACCCCGTCTCTACTAAAAATACAAAAATTAGCTGGGCCGGGCGCGATGGCTCAAGCCTGTCATCCCAGCGCTTTGGGAGGCCGAGGCGGGTGGATCAGGAGGTCAGGAGATCAAGACCATCCTGGTCAACATGGTGAAACCCCGTCTCTACTAAAAATACAAAAAAAATTAGCTCGGCGTTGTGGCGCGCGCCTGTAATCCCAGCTACTCGGGAGGCTGAGGCAGGAGAATTGCCTGAACCCAGGAGGCGGAGGCTGCAGTGAGCCGAGATGGCGCCATTGCACTCCAGCCTGGGTGACAAGAGCGAAACTCCCGTCTCAAAAAAAAAAAAAAAGGAAAAAATATTTAAAATGGTAATTTATTCTTCAATATTCACTGTAAAAGAAGAGAAAGAAAAAAAGCATTTTATTCTGCTTCATGTCCTGGAAGAGGGGGAAAATGACATTTTATGTCTGGGTTGGTATAAAGATGGATATAACCAGCTGGATTCATTTTATATGTGTATGTACACATAAATGTATGTGTATATATGAACACACGCACATACATATATATATGAGGTTTTTTTTTTGAGATCGAGTTTTTTTTTTTTTGGTTAATCAATAAGAGCTTATAATGTTGCTCAGGTTGGCCTTGAACTCATGGCCTCACCTCCTCAAGTGCCAGGACATCTGGCCGGAGCCACTGCAGACCCCTGAGATAGAGTTTCCCTGTTGTTACCCAGGCTGGAGTGCAATGGTGTGATCTCGGCTCACCGCAACCTCCGCCTCCTGGGTTCAGGCGATTCTCCTGCCTCAGCCTCCCGAGCAGCTGGGATTACAGGCACGCGCCACCGTGCCCAGCTAATTTTTGTATTTTTAGTAGAGACGGGGTTTCGCCATGTTGACCAGGACGGTCTCGATCTCTTGACCTCGTGATCCACCCGCCTCGGCCTCCCAAAGTGCTGGGATTACAGGCGTGAGCCACCGCGCCCGGCCCAATCCAGAAGCTTTTATGAGGATGCCCCGGACCCCTGAGTGCAGAGTAGAGAACAGGTCCAGTGACCTGCAGGGTTGGGTGAGATTCAGGCTGTTTTCCTGTGTTGGAGGTTCTCAGAGCCACAGAAGCCCCAGAGGGTCTGGCTAGGGAAACCTTTAGAGCTGGGGCTGCTGCACCCCCAGGGCATGGTCTGGCTACGGAATCTTTAGACCTCGGGCACAGAGACTGGGAGGGGTCTGGCCTGACCTAAGTCCACTCTGCTGCCTACCCCCGCCGGGCAAGGGGAATCTAGAATATGGTGGAGCCAGCTAGTCTGTGTAGACATTCTCAGCTCCCTCTCCGGCCTCCAGGCTAAAAATAGGAGCCCCTCACTGCAGGCAGCTGCCATCCTGCATCCTCAACCCCCTGCGCCTGGCCCCTTTGGGGGAAGCTGAAGCCAGCTACCCGGATCACAGCTTCCTCCTGGGAAACGGGTAGGGGCTCTACCCTTCCTGCCCTAGGGGTAATTATGCCCCCACTCCTTTGAACAAAGGGCAACCTAATCCTAAACAGGATGGTCAAAGGGCCGAATTAATATTGGCCCATTTTACAGAGGGATAAACTGAGGCACAGAGGCCCATGCACCTGATCTCCAGGTGCCTTTTGGGTCTGCTGGCCTCCAGGTGCTCCATCTGCTTTCCTTCACCTTCAGACTTGAGCTGGGGTCTCGCCCTAGAAGGGAGCGTTCCCCCATCCCTTTATCCCGGCACAGGGAACCTCTCTCCAAAGCAACCCCACCTGGGGCAGTTGTCTTGGGCCTGTCCCTCAGGGACGCGGGTGACAGCTGGGTTTGGGTGTCTAATAGAGTAACGGTGGGACGCCTCTCAGACACCTGCTGGCATTGGGCTCCCTGTGGCCCTGGGGCCAGAAGGCTGGATTCAGGCCTTGGTGTCGGGGGCAGCTTTCCTGCCTGCGGTTTTGTTTTGTTTCTGAGACGGTGCCTTGTTCTTGCTGCCCAGGCTGGAGCGCAGTGCTGTGATCTGCGCTCACCGCAACCCCCACCAGCGATTCTCCTGCCTCAGCCTCCCGAGGAGCTGGGATTACAGGCACGCACCACCACACCCAGCCGATTTTTGTATTTTTAGTAGAGACGGGGGTTCCGCCACGTTGGCGAGGTTGGTCTCGAACTCTCGACCTCAGATGATCCGCCGGCCTCGGCCTCCCAAAGTGCTGCGATTACAGGCGTGAACCACCGCGCCCGGAGGTGCAGCTTCGGGGAGGAGGGAGAGAAAAAGTGGCAACATTAGTTTAGGGGAAGGGGTGGGAGACGCCTGCGACCCCGCCCCCAACCCTCAGGACCAGGGACCCTAGCCCGCCTTAGAGACCCTCCACAAGTGAGGGCCCCCCTGGGAGGCCCCTGCCCGCCCTGCAGGCTCCCCTGGGCTCACATCCGGGCTGCAGCCCCCACGGGGTTGCCTCCAAGCTCACAGCTCCCTGCAGATCACTCGAGCCCCCCCCCCACCGCCTTCCTTGCACCCCGCTGGGTGCCTCAGTTTCCTGCTCTGTGCAGTGAGGACCAAAAGGGTGCCCACTACCGAGAGGCGTGCGGGCTGGGGACAGGCGGGGACCTCCCCCGAGGGCGGCGCGGGGCACGTGGTCGGGCAAGCGCACGCCCAGACCGTGGAAGTCATCATCGCCCCCAACGCTGGTGACAGCCGGGCCGGGCAGGGTCGTCCTGGCTTCACCAGGGGTCTCGGGGTCCCCGCGCGCACCTCCCCACGCCCACAGCCCGTCCCGCCCAAGACGGAGGCCCGCGGAGCCCCCGCTCCCTCCCTCCCTCCCTCCCGCCCCGCCCGCCCCGCTCCGCGCCGAGTCTTTCAAGCCCATTTCACAGACGTGGAAACCGCGGCTGCGGCCGTGAAGTCACTCTCGCGGGGGGCGCTCCATCTAAGGGGCAAAGGTGCAACTCCGAGGCCCGGAGGCCCAGCCTAGGTGCCCCGTGGGAAGGGAAGAGTCTTGGTCCCGGCTCCGGCTCCGGCTCCGATGTCCCCCAGTCCGCCCGGGCGGAGGCCCAGTGCCCTCTTCCCCACTTGGGGTGCTCCCGCTCCAGCCCGTGTCCCCGACGCCTTCTGCGCTTGGGGCCGCGGCGCGCACTTTGCCCACCGTCCCTAGGTCGGGGGCGGGGCCTCCCGCGGCGCTGTTCCCCCTTCCCGTTTATTATTTATTATCCTTTAAAGGGGCCGCGACCTGAAAATTTCCGTCCACTCCGCCCGGCTCCCCAGCGCCCCCGGGGCTGGTTGCGCGTCGTCCGACCGCGCGCGGGGGGCGAGGGGGCGTCCGGGGAAACGTGGGGAGCCCCGGCGAGCCCCTCCCGCGCCCGGGCCGCGGCGCTGAATCACCGGCCAGGTATTTGCATCCGAGAGCGACTCGTCCCCTGGTGATTTGTCTGGGGGTGGGGGAGGGGCGGGGCGGGGGCCGGCCGCGCGCGGGGCGCCTCTTACCGATCGGCCGGGCGGGTGTAGACGCGGACGCGGCGGGCGGCTCGGTGAGTCGGTCGGCGGCGGGAGGCCAGGCGGGCCCGGGCAGGCCGACCCCAGGCGCGGGGCGTGCGCCCCCCCCTCCCCCGAGCCGCCCTGCGCGGTGAGACTTGGGGGCGCGCTGGCCGTTCGGGGCGCGGGTTCCGGTGCCGGGGTGGGCGCTGCGCGTCCTGGAAGCCAGAGAAGGGGGTCCCCGAAGTTGGGCGGAGATGTTGGTGGGAGGTTCCCGGCCGGGCGGCCCGGGAGGGTCGGGGTTCGGGGACTTTTCTCTGCGCCCGGGGCTTGGAGACTCCGCTCCCCACTGGATCCAGCGCCCACGGGCGAGCGGGACCGATCGGGGGTCGCGAGTGCGCGCCTCCCCCCTCCCCAGCGGAAGGAAACGGTCTCTGCGCGCGCGCGCTGGGGGCTGCACCCCGGGATTTTATTTCATTTTTGTTCCCTCCCCCCGAAATCAGGGGTTTATTCGGGAGCCCAGGGAGGAGGGAGGGCAGTTCCCGGAGAGCCGCCCCGGCCGGGCTGGTTTATTTATAAAGTGTCCGCCCCAGCGCAGAGAGGGGCCCCCGAGGGAGACACCGCGGCCCCGGCGCGCGCGGGTGGGTTGGGCCCGGGCGCCCGGTTCCCCGGCGGGGATTCCCGGGAGGAGCCCCCCGACCCGTCTCAGGGCCCCCCCAGACACAAAAGCGGGCGCAGGAAGCGCTGGGAGCGCGCGTTTGTCAACTCCGACGTTCGGCGCCGACCCCAGGCGACGGGTTCAATGATCTTCCGTTTTGAGGCGCTCGGGCTGGAGGGGCTCCCCCACCCCCCCATGCAAATCGGCCGCTTTCCAAGAAGCCTTTGAAATCCGGGCCAGGGTTTCTGTTTTCTTGTTTCTTCTCCTTCTTGAGTTTTTTTTCTCACTTCCTCCAGCACCCCCCCACCCCAGGACTTTCTCAGCCCCCTCCCCAGCTTTCTGCCCCGCCCCTCCCCCTCCTCTTCCCCTCGTGGAGTGAGGGGCCCCTTTCGCCACCCGCGGGCCCAGGGCCTTGCACAACTCTTTAAATAACCATGTTTTGCAAGGCCCGGGCCGAGCGGGTGACCTCTCTCCGGAGGCCTGGGGGGGAGGAGGGTGTGGCCCAGGATCCCTCCGCCCCCCACCCCTGCCAGGTCCAACGACCACCCAGCGCCCCGTCCCAGCCTCTCCCTTGGGGCTGTCATAAAATGGGGGTGGGGGTCGAGGACAAAGGGCTCTTGGGGGAGGGGTCTGAGGGGGGTGGGCGTTGCCAGTTTAGGGTTAATGGCGGCCACGGGGGGGGGGGGGCACCCAGGCTTGGCCTGGGTGGGGGAATCTGGGATCCCCACCTGCCCCCTCCACCGGCCCCAACGTGGAGGCCTGTCCTGCTCCCCTCCCCCACCCGGCGACCCGGAAGGGTCATTAAACCCAGCAGGGTGGTGGGGGGGGTGGCTTCCTTTGGCCTCTTCCTTCTGTGCCCCCAAAGAGGGGGGCTCTGCTTGGAGCTCTTCCGTAGGGGGGGGGGCTTTCCTTGAAGTTATCAAAGGTGGGGGAGGGGCAACAGACCTGACCAGACCCTGAGCCAGAAATGCCCCCTCAGCACTTTCTTGGGGTGGGTGGTGGGTGAAGGGCCTGGGGCTGGGGGGCTGGGTGCCGCCTTGGTGGCCTCTGGACCACCAGGCTCTCCTGGTCACTCCCCAGCACTGTGGCCCTGAGGTCTTTGTGACCTGGGACCTCTGTCCCACAACAGATGGGACCCAGAGGCTATTTTGGAATGTACCCTCCCTGATTTCTCCCATGGGTCACCCACCTGCCCCCACCACTGCCATTCACCCACAGGGTCGAAAGACTCAGGTGTTTGGGGCAGAGGGGGCCGCAAGGCTCTCTGTGGCTGCTACAGGACCCCTCCGGTGAGATGGGAGGTTTGGCGGGGGTCTGCTGTGCGACACCGACCTGGGTGGGGTCAGGTCATGGGAGGGACTGAGTCCCAGGAGCCTCTGCCTCCCCCGTCTCTGGTGCGTGTCTGCCCAGGAGCTGGTTATGAGTCTTGGGGGTTCCTTTGCCAGCGTAAGGGTTGGGGGCAGCCTCCTGGGCCCAGCTGCCTCTCTGGAGGGTGGAGCTTTGCCGCCTCCCCTGTCTCCGCCATGTGCCTTTACTCTGGGGTGTCACTTGGTGACACACAGGCCTGTTGGGTTCTACCTGGCCTGTTTTATTGGCGGCCTGGGTGGGTGGAGGTGTGGCCCGGGCTGGGGGATGGCTGGGGTGGGCCCCGGGATGTCTCTGTTCTGCACCCAGCACATTAGGACTGGCCCTGGGTGGATGGGACTGGAGGCTGGGTGAGCATGTTGTATAGACCAGGCATCCGGCCCGCTGGGGTCCCAGAGGACCGGGGAACTCCAGACTCCTGCTGCCCTGCAGAGAGCGTGTGGGGTCTGCGTAGGAGGCTTTGTGGTCACTCCGCCCTGAGTTCAAGCCTCAGCCCCGTGTGTCCAAGCAAAGGCTCTCTCAGCCTCAGTTGTCCTCAGCCGTGAAATGGGACCACCCTGGCGCCTCCTTCCCTGACACCTGTTGGTTAGGGTTGGGGTTTGTGTTTGGTTTACGGTTAGGGTTAGGGTTTGGGTTAGGGTTAGGGTTCATCCCTCCTTGAGTGCCGTGAGGGGGGTACTATCATCCACACCGTTTTGCATGTGGGGAAACTGAGGCCCAGAGAGATTGGGACTTGGGCGTTGCTGTTGAGTTGTGTGATGGGAGGAGGGTTAGCCCAGGGCTGGTATGCAGCAGGCGCTCAATCTCGGGCAGTCACCATCTCTGTGGGCCTGAGATGGGAGGGTACTGGGGCCGCTCTAGCAGGGGCCAGGGCTGCCACTGGAACTTAGAACCCGCCTGACTGGGGCCTGGAGCCCGCTGGCCAATCACAGGCCAGGAACGCCCATTTCCCCCACCCTGCTTGTGAAGCAATAATCCGAGATCTCCTGGGGCAGGCAGTCTGGCCACAGCGTGTTTCTCTGTGGCCCAGTGCGGGTTGACCTTGCTACCCAGGCCCATGGTAGGGTGTATTCGAAGAGCCTGTGCCACTGCCTCCAGGAAGGCCTCCAGGTCTGCATCCTGCATGAGATGGACATGAGAGATGATCCCGGGGGGCCTTCACTGGGAAGGAGGGGCCCTGACCATTTCTTTTTCCGCCCTCAGCTTTCTGCGAATGTGTGAATGAGCCAGATGCCGGCCGCTGTCCCCTGGAGCCCCGCGTGAGGAAGAGGCATGCCCTGTCAGCCTTCAGCCTGAGCCCGGCGGCCCCCGCCCCCGCCCCCTGCCACCCTGCACTGCCCCGGCTCCCCCGCGGCCCCCACGCTGCAGTGTGGCCGGGCCCCGTCCCCACAGGGGCCGCCTCTGCCGCCCACCCCTAGTGCCCGTGGTGGTGGCGGTGGCCCGGCCCGCAGGGCCATGAAGCTACAGGCCGTGATGGAGACGCTCTTACAGCGGCAGCAGCGGGCGCGCCAGGAGCTGGAGGCCCGGCAGCAGCTGCCCCCCGAGCCCCCCGCTGCGCCCCCCAGCCGGGCCCGGGCCACCGCCGATGAGGACAGAGAGCCTGAGAGTGCCCGGATGCAGCGGGCTCAGATGGCCGCGCTGGCCGCCATGCGGGCCGCGGCTGCGGGCCTGGGACACCCGGCCAGCCCCGGTGGCTCCGAGGACGGGCCCCCAGGCTCAGAGGAGGAGGACGCAGCCCGGGAGGGGACGCCGGCCTCACCAACTGTGCCTGGCGGAGGCAGAGAAGGGCCGGGAGAGGAGCACTTTGAGGATGTGGCCTCCGACGAGGACATGTGAGTTGGGGTCCTGGGCAGGGGCTTTGGGGGCTGTTACTGGCTCTGGGTGTCACTCTGCTCATCTGCAGAATGGGAGTAAGGGTCCGTCCGTGGGGCCTCCCGACTGGAATCCCAGCACTTTGAGAGGCTGATATGGGAGGATCACTTGGGCCCAGGGGTTGGAGACCAGCCTGGGCAACATAGCAAGACCCCGTTCTTGCAAAAAATTTAAAAATTAGCCAGGCATGGTGGCGCGCGCCTGTAGTCCCAGCTACTCGGGAGGCTGAGGCGGGAGAATCGCTTGAACTCGGGAGGCGGGAGGCCGAGCAAGTGTTTCTCGAGCCTGTGCTGTGTGCCGGAGAGCAGACCTTTCAGGATGGTGGTGAAAATGTCCTCCATCTCCTCTCCAGCCGGGAGCGGCTGCAAGCACCGGAAATGTGGCCAGGACGACTGAGGCCTGGGTCTTAAACTTGGTTTCATCTTAGCCACCGATGGCTACGGCAGATTCAGCCGCGGGGACAGATAAAATCTGCAGCCGGCAGGGCCTGTACGGCCTGAGGGTCCCCCCAGGGCTGGCTGGGGGCTCACTTGCTGTGGGACCCTGGCCTCCAGGAACCCGCATCTCGCTGGGAGAACCAGTGGCCCACGCCTATCATCCCAGCACTTTGGGAGGCCGAGGTGGGAGAATCACTTGAGCAGAGAAGATCAAGACCAGCCTGGGCAATCTAGTGAGACTCCATCTCTACAGAAAGTACGAAAATGAGTTGGGCGTGGTGGCATGCGCCTGTGGCCCCAGCCACTCGAGAGGCCGAGGCAGGAGGCTGAGACTGCGGCGAGCTGTGATCACACCGCTGCACTCCGGCCTGGGCGACAGGGAGGACCCCGTGTCCTAAAACAAACCCAACCTGGCAGAGAAGCCGGGGGGACGTCAGGTTGTACAAAGGGCTGCCAGGAAAACCTAGGAGGGGTGCCGTGGAGGGGCAGCGGCTTGGGGTGGGGGGATTTCAGACAGCGGTGGGAGAATTGTCCCTGTGGAGGGACGGGGAGGTGGAGCCGGGCACAGGGTGCCTGCTGCGGGAACCAGCCTGCGATCATGATTCCCCCCCACTTTTTTTTTTTTGAGACGGAGTCTCGCTCTTGTCACCCAGGCTGGAGTGCAATGGCGCGATCTCGGCTCACCGCAACCTCCGCCTCCTGGGTTCAGGCAACTCTCCTGCCTCAGCCTCCCGAGTAGCTGGGATTACAGGCACGCACCACTGTGCCCGGCTAATTTTTGTATTTTTAGTAGAGACGGGATTTCACCATGTTCACCAGGATGGTCTCGATCTCTTGACCTCGTGATCCACCCGCCTTGGCCTCCCAGAGTGCTGGGATTACAGGCTTGAGCCACCGTGCCCGGCCTTTTTTTCTTTTTTTTAAGAGTCAGGGTCTTGCTCTGTGGCCCAGGCTGGGGTGCGGTGTGACATCACAGCTCACTGCAGCCTCCGCCTCCTAGGTTCCAGTGATCCTCCTGCCTCGGCCTCCCAGAGTGCTGCAGGGATTATAGGCGTGTGCCACTGTGTCTGCCTGAGCGATGCTTTTCAGGGCCCCGAAATTCATTTGTGCTGTTCTGGGCTACCTGGGAACAAAATGGGCGTCACAGGGGCCCCACACAGGCTGTGCCCATGGGTGCTCTCTGCAAACCCATTTCCAGAGAAAGAAACTGAGGTTGGGTCGGGGAGCGGGTCTGTCCCTGGGCGGGGACGAGCCGGCACCTTCTCCCCTGACTCCTGCCCTCTGCTCACCCCAGGAAGCCCAAATGGGAGGAGGAGGAGATGGAGGAAGACCTCAGGGAGGATGAGGAGGAGGAGGAGGATTTTGAGGAGGAGGAGGAGGAGGAGGAGGACGAGGAGGGGCTGGGGCCCCCAGGCCCCGCCAGCCTGAGCACTTCGGCCCTGTTCCCCCGCAAGGCCCAGCCGCCCCAGGCCTTCCGCGGCAGCGACGGCGTTCCCAGGGCACTGGGGGGCCAGGAGCGGCCGGGGCCCGGCCCTGCTCACTCTGGAGGGGCCGCCTATGTAGCCCCCCAGCTGCAGCCGCCAGACCACGGGGACTGGACGTACGAGGAACAGTTTAAGCAGGTGAGTGGGTGCGTCCCTTGGGGCGGTGGAACCACAGGCCCACGCACTGGGGCCCTTGGGAGGCCCACGTTTTTCGGGGTGTGTGCTGAGCCGGGTGTCATGTTGAGAATTGGGGTTCCTGCGGAGGCCCCAGAGGGGATGCCCCCAGCGCGCGGGCCGCTCTGATGTGGGATGGGTGAGGAGCACCAGCCGGGAAGGAGACACGTGGGGGGTTCAGGCCCCGCATCAGACCTGGTGACGGGGCAGGTCTGGGAGGGAGGGGCTGGGGCCGGCCCGAGCTGGGCGTGGGCTGGAGGAACCAGGCATGTGGGCGATGTGGGCAGAGGGCGGGGACCTTGGTGACGCGGTGAGGAGGCCTCCTCCGTTCCCCGGTGTCTGTGGAGACCCATGAGGGTTGCGGGCTGCGGCGGCCGCCGAGGGGACCCGGGGGTGGCTCAGGTGTGGCGGCAGGAGCCAGGACCTGGGAGGCTCTGAGTGGGCAGTTAAGGCCGGGCTGGCAGGGGGGTCTCAGGGACCCCAGGCTGCAGGAGGAAGCAGGGGCCGCCCCGGTCTTTCCCCGCAGGCGGCCAGGCCAGAGGAAGTGGCCAGGCGGGGGATGCTTTGAAGTTGGGCCGTGCTGGGCTGGGCAGATGGAAACCAGATGGTGGCCAGGCTCACATTCCAGCCCTCGGCCAGCTGGGCTCTGCCCTGACCTCTGGGCGCGGCTGGGGGGAGCCACCTTCTCGCCCAGGGCGGGAGGCTGGTCTGGGCTCCCGCAGGGAGGTGCGTGATGGACGCGCTGGGACACGCCTGCCCAAGGGGAGCCCCTGCCATCCCGGGCTTCCAGGGCCTGCTCCGAGGAGCCTTCCAGGAGGGGCCGAGGCACAGACACCCAGTGGGGCCTCCCTGGGGCTCCTGACTCCGGGGGCGCTTGGTAGGAGGGGGGCTCTGAGCCGCGCAGCCCTCAAGACAGTTCAGTTTGGGCTGCGTAAAAACTCACACCCAGTAAAGAGCTGGGAGCCGGACACTGCGCAGTGTGGGAGAATGGGCAGGGCCGCGGCGGGGACTCGGGGCTGCCTCGCCGATCCTACCCCGCTCTGTGACTCAGTTTCCCTTTCCCGAAGAACGGGGTACTCCACGGGCCACGCCACCATGCGTTCCGTTTTGCCTGTGAGAACACGAGGCTCGGCGCTGGGAGACGGGGCCTGGGGCGCCGAGTGTGTGCTCTTTTCTGGGTTTAATCTGGTAACAGATGAGCATGTCGAGAGCAGATTCTGTTCTGTTTAATTTCATTTCTTTATTCATCCAACATTCGCCGTCTGTCCGGGCGCCCTGGGCTGGGGTGGGGGGCGGGCAGGAGCTGGACGGAGACCTCCACCCGCTCAGGGTCATAGCCAAGCCCACAGCGCGGGTCAAGGCCCCCCCCAGTCAGTCCGTCCTTGGGAGGTCAGAGGTGAATGGGACCCCCCTGACCCTGGACACATGCCCCGTTCAGACACCCCCAGCCTCCAAGGCCTAAAACCAAAGGGGCAGTTTTGGGGCAACCAGCCTAGATCAGGGAGGGACGGAGGGCCAGGTGCCCTGACCCCTCAGCCCGCAGCGTGTCTGGAACAAAAGCGGCAGAACCCGCCGTGGAGTTCGTCTGGGTGACACTCTGGGTCAGGGTCGCAGGTGCTGCAGACGGGGCCGTCGGGGGTTTTCTGCAGCGGGAAGCTGAAATGGGGAAACTGAGGCCCGAGCAGGGAGGGGTCATCGTGGGTCACCCGCAGGTATTCACGGAGCTCCTGCTGGATGCCTGGACTCCCCAGCGCCTATTCCCTGGGTGTACCGGGCAGGGAAAAGCCTGTGCAAAGGCCCTGAGGTTGGTCTAAAGCTGGGCTTGTGTGTAGGCGGCGCCAGGGGCCGGGTGCCGCTCCGGGCTAGGTCTTACAGGAGATGGGATTGGAATTGCGAGAAGATGGGGGCCAAGCGGGGGTGTGGGCAGGAGGGGTGAGGGAGGCCCCTCCCTGCAGTCCTGGGATTTTTTTTCCCCCCAAGAGACGGGGTCTCACTATTTGCCCAGGTTGGTCTCAGACTCCTGAGCTCAAGTGATCTGCCTGCCTCGGCCTCCCAAAGTGCTGGGATTACAGGCCTGAATCAGCGCACCCAGCCAGTCCTGGGATCTGACCCTGGGCCGTTTGTGACAGGTCCAGCCGCCGATGCCGCCGCCCGCCCAGCTGGCCAGGCACCTGCACTCCAGTGTCAACAGTGGCCTGGGCCCAGCCAGCCGGCCCCCCCCCCCGCCCCGTCCCGCTTACCCCTGCCGGGGCCCCTGTTGGCTCTGGCGTCTGCCCCACCCCCTTCCTGGCACGTGGCAGCCCTGGCCTGCTGGCCAGCCACTTGGCACGGTCTCTGCCTCTTCCTCCCGGGTCCTGGCAGGGCTGGAGGCTGACTTCCGCCTGCAGATCCTCGACAGCTGTGAAATTGTGCCGTCGGCCGCAGGTCTGGTGGGCGGCCAGGCTGCAGAGGGGCTGGCGCAGCCGGCTCGGGGCCGCGTGTGCTTTTCCCTGGACCCGGAACCTGGCTGCCGTGGGGCCTGGGGACGTGCGCTCTCGGAGGCCGGCACGCGTCAGACAGTGATTAGGATCTCAGCCTCCCGATGTCTGACGGAGCCTCCTGGTGGCTTCCTGTCACTCACTCAGCAGGCCTGGGCTCTGGAGAGCGGCCCTGGTAGGATTTTGTTTTATTTATTTTTATTTTTATTTATTTATTTTTTGAGACGGAGTTTCGCTCTCGTTACCCAGGCTGGAGTGCAATGGCGCCATCTCGGCTCACCGCAGCCTCCGCCTCCTGGGTTCAAGCAATTCTCCTGCCTCAGCCTCCCAAGTAGCTGGGACTACAGGCACGCGCCACCATGCTCAACTAATTTTTGTAGAGGTGGGGTCTCTCTGTGTTGCCCAGGCTGGTCTGGAACTCCTGGGCTCAGGTGACCCGCCCACCTCAGGCCATCTGCCCTCCCAAAGTGCTGGGATTCCAAGCGCGAGCCGCCTTGCCCCGCTGTGGTGGGTTTTTAACGCACAGGGTGGGCGGCGGCGGGTCTTCAGCTGCTGACGGATTCGAACCTCCGGTGTCAACAGCTCTAACAAGTGTTGAATAAATTAGAAACGAATCTCCGAACAGCTTTGTTGGGCTGTAAGTTCACTGTTTTGTTTTATTCTATTTTTGACTGAGAGACCTGAATCCATTCACCGTTTTAAAGTACACGGTTTGGGCTGTGCACAGTGGCTCATGCCCCTAATCCCAGCACTTTGGGAGACCGAGGTGGGCAGATTGCTTGAGCCCAGGAGTTCGAGACCAGCCTCCTGGGCAAAATGATAAAATGCTGCTTGTTTTTTCTTCTTTTTGTTTTGAGATGGGGTCTTGCTCTGTCGTCCAGGCTGGAGTGCAATGGTGCGATCTCAGCTCACTGCAACCTCCGCCTCCCGGGTTCAAGGGATTCTCTGCCTCAGCCCCCACCTCAAGTAGCTGGAATTACAGGCACGCGCCACTGTGCCCGGCTAATTTTTTGTATTTTTAGTAGAGATGGGGTTTCACCATCTTGGCCAGGCTGGTCTTGAACTCCTAATCTCGTGATCCACCCACCTCGGCCTCCCAAAGTGCTGGGATTGCAGGCGTGAGCCACTGCACTCAGCCCTAAACCCTGTTTTTCCAGAAAAAAAAAGAATTAGGAGGGTGTGGTGGCACATACCTGTGGCCCCAGCTACTTGGGAGGCTGAGGTGGGAGGATCACTTGAGCCCAGGAGGTCAAGGCTGTAGTGAGCTGTGATCTCTCCGTTGCACTCCAGCCTGGGTGACAGAGCAAGACCCTGTCTCCCGTTTTTCTCTTTTCTTTCTTTTTTTGAGTGGGCGTCCCACAGTGTCGGCTCCCTGCAACCTCTGACTCCGGGTTTAAGCAATTCTCTCGCCTCAGCCTCCCGAGTAGCTGGGATTAGAGGCGACCGCCACAAAGCAGCCGGCTAATTTTTTTTTAATATTTTTAGTAGAGACGGGCTTTCTCCATGTTGTTCAGGCTGGTCTCGAACTCCCGACCTCAGGTAATCCGCCCGCCTCGGCCTCCCAAAGTGCTGGGATTACGGGCTTCAGCCACCGCGCCCGGCCAAAACCTAGTTTCATTCCTCTTGCAGGGAGGAAACAAATAGCCTGTTCACAGTGAGCCCTGAGCCTCTGCCTCGACCTCTAGGGCGTGAGCTGTGGGTTCTCCAGGCCTTTGTCTACCCACGTGCACCCGGGAATGTGACCTGCGAGGCATCTAAGGTGCGATCTTTAGCGGGAGCTGGGAGGTTCCTCCCACCGCTGCCTCTGAGGGACTGTTTTCCTTGGGTGCGTTTGTGTCGTGATCGCGATATTCCGAGCCGCCTGGTTCTTTTCAGCCGTGGGGACGTTTCCCTTGTGAGGCTGTCACAGCTCCTCTGTGCACGTCCCTGGGTCATTTCCCTGTTGTAAACAGTACCGTGGCCGGGCGCGGTGGCTCAACGCCTGTCATCCCAGCACTTTGGGAGGCCGAGGCGGGCGGATCACGAGGTCAGGAGATCGAGACCATCCCGGTCAACATGGTGAAACCCCGTCTCTACTAAAAATACTAAAAATTAGCCGGGCACGGTGGCGCGTGCCTGTGATCCCAGCTACTCGGGAGGCTGAGGCAGGAGAATTGCCTGAACCCAGGAGGCGGAGGCTGCGGTGAGCCGAGATCGCGCCATTGCACTCCAGCCTGGGTAACAAGAGCGAAACTCCGTCTCAAAAAAAAAAAACAGTACCGTAATGAACATCTTCGGGCGAGTGAGAGTTGCTTGGAGCGGTATGGGGAGGAGGTGGGGAGCTGGAATTGCCAGGGCTCTGGGAGAAGCGGGCGGGCATTTCCTCCATCCTGCCTGAAGACCCCGAAGCTGGCAGGAGCCGGAGCTGAATGTGAAGGTGGCATTGATATCTGGCCTGGTCTAACCACCTTCATTTCAGACTGAGGCTTGGAGGGGCTGCTGGGTTTC